CATAACTGGGAAGAATGAATTGTGCCTTTGAGGGGCTGGCACAATTCTCCTTCCTCCTCTCCTTCCTCCTCCTGGTTTCCTTGTGCAAACTTACTGAAGGAAAGTTGGTCTCTGTCTTCTCTTCCTCCCTCTTCTGCACTCCTGAGATTGCAGTTACTGGGGAGACAGGATTTGTGCCTCACAGAGGATACCATGTTCTGCTAGATTTGCATGGTTAGGCAGCCACCACAGCTTTCTGTTCCCAGTAATTAAAGTTCCTACTCTTTGCCCTATTTGAAGGCTTTTTGCTGGGTGCTTTCATATTGCCCACGCAAGCTTAGTGCAAAACTAAATACTAAGCGTTACAATGTAATGTTTTCAGCTAGTGGCAATTAAATGACTGGAAAACAAATAGTGAAACACAAGGCAGCTGATGCAGTTTCTGTCCATAACTGAGTCACAAACTTCTATGGGATCTCTTTTCTATAAGCACCTTTATTTTTCTTTTTGTGCAGAGACTGTTGGGTTTTTTTTTTTTTATGTTCTTACATATATCCTCTGCTCAGGACCAATAAGATAATTGCAATACTTAAAAAAAAACCACAACAAAAACACAAATTGATTTTTAAAACCTTTTACATTTTAGTATTTTTAGTCTTCCAATGTTCAGGAAAGTATTTTACCAACATCTTAACTTTCAATTTTGGGGCAGAAACAGATACAGTTATGTAAAATATTTAACTGTACAGTTTTAACTGTCATCGTATCTTGATAATAATTATTCTTCCCACATATATAACTTGATTTTTACAGGTAAAAAGTTTTTATTATCTTTCTCTCTATGTGTGTGTGTGTACGTACACACTTAGCTGAACATTTTCTTTGAAAGTTTTTAGTGTTGCCAATAATCATACACTAAAAATTTCATTTCAGCTTCCAACAATAGGGCTTTTCATATGTAATTTGAAGGATAACTCACTAATTATGCATTTAATTGGATAATAAATCATAGCACGTTTCCCTTATTTTCTGTAGTGCTATGCTAAATCTTTATAATGTGGCCTGGTGTTTTTTTGAAAAAAAAAAAAAAAGAAAACTAAATGGCTTGTTTAGTGTAGGTACAGTGCACAAGTGACATAAATATGTAAAGACTTCTATGGTGTTTACTATGGTGTATGAGAAGTTCCTGTGATTACACATCTAGGGATTTTATGAATGTACGTTTTAAAGGAGGTATTGACATTTTAGATTTTACATTATATCACGTATATATTTAGTATGTAAATAACGAGGGGAGCTTGCTCAAGCTAAGATGAGTTTACAAAAAAACACACAATAGAACTTTTTGAAATATACGCATCGTTGATTCTGATTGTTATAGTACTGATTCTCAGATTTTTATGATTAATTCTGTTAATTTTCAAAGTGGCTATTTAGTTGTGATTTTTTTTTAAAATTGGTGAACAGAGGATTTATTTAAATGCTTTAAAATTTGAGAAAGGTTTTAGGTAGCGGAATCTCTGCCTGTCGTTTCCATTAACACTGCAGGTTACGATACTTCAGTATTTCCAGTTAGAGTGTGGGATCATTTGGTATGATTGCTCTCATTTAGAGGTTGAAATTTTCCAAAAATATTTCATGAATAAAATAACATAAACATTGCCACAATGAAATGATGAAAAAGACCAGGTTAGTTACAAAAGAATGAAATGTAGAAATAGACGAACCTTTTTCTAAGTCCCTTCTTGCCTGTGGAAGGGCGCTGGTCATTTTTTCGTTTGCCTGCATGTGGGGAAACTGGAGAAAGTGGTTGTTCCAATAAAAATTTGGATTAACATAACTGATTTACAAGAATTTAAGCCATGAATTACATTAAATTCTACACCTAGCAAATTCTGTCATCTCAGTGTCAAGGCCATTACGTAAAGTCACTGAAAGTTTTCCTTCATTACCCTTTCAGGAACAGTTAAGCAGCATTTCAAGACTCCTCCACGTATGTACACGTATGCAAACCAAATTTAATATAGGAAAATGTTTCCAAACAGGTTTTAGTATGTGTGCATGCATGCATGCTAAGAGAAGTAGTAGAACACACTCTATTATTACGTTTCATTTTAAAAAATCCACCTGCACGGTGGCTGCATAAATGTCCATTACTTTGATGTTCAGTATGTTCACTTGAATTTACTGACATTCTGGAGGGAAAAAATGTATTTGGAAAATTGAGGGCACTGTAAGCTGAGCGATTAACAAATGGTTGCTAGCATTACTTTTATAAACATTCGGAATATTCTGCATTAAGGTCGATGTAGTCAACCAGCACTATTCATCCTCTGTGCCACCCCCTGAATTAAACACAGCAATAACTCAATAGGACCAGTGAGGGAAGTTCATTTTAGTTTGGATTGTTTTGTAGTAAGTAAGCATACCCTATCTAATCCTCATGTGGCAAGAATTCTCATCGGCTTGTCACAGAAAAAAAAAAAAAATTTTCAAATGTGACTCTTATTTGCAGTCATCCCAGGTATTTCTTGTAACAATAATGAAGGAGAGAATAAGACTAAGGTGAAGTTCTTTCCAAGGAGTAGAAATTTTCCATTATGGAAATGGATGTGGCTTCAGTAATTTATGAGTGTAAGGAAAAAAAAAAAAAAGAGATTTCTATTCAGAAATACAGCCCACCACAGTCATAAGTAAGCAAGTCATATAATCCTCCTAATGAACAGTTTGATGAACAACTGTTTTCCATTTGAGCGCTGTACCAGTCCTGAAATGGTCCCATCACTGCCAATTTATTTTCTATGGGCATAAGGTTATATTTTCTTGTATTTTGTTACGATACGATGGAAGAGAAGTGTGAGGAGAGTGGGAGTCGATCATTAAGATACACATTTGAAGCAAAGATTGGGTCTCTTCTTTGATTAACAGGACTGCAGTAACATTTCCACATGGTATATTCTTAGATTTTGATTGTGTTTCTGGTTCCTTTTCTTCACTTGTGAGCTAGAACTTTTTGGCAAAGCTGAATATACAAAATAAATATAAACCACGTTGCAAGGATGGGTCCCTCAGCGAGCGAGAGGAGAAAATGATTTAATGCAATAATGATTTTAGCTATACACAGGCATCCCTTTTTTGTCTCGATTTGTTAAATTACCTGACGTCTGCATGTGTAACTTAAACAAAATTTTGTTCTCTAGTCTTTCTTCCTTTTGAGCTATCTTCTCAAGGAGAAGGATGATAAATGGAAACATAAACATAGCATGAGAATGTGAACTAGTTCCCAAACATTTCATTGGTTTTTATAAACAACTGGTCATTGTTACCTTTTGCTGGATTACAGTTTCCTTTAGAACAACAGTGCTCTTCAGCTGCATTACAGAGTTGATTCTAAATGTTTTCACATAGTTGCTTAAAGGCTTTAATGTTTAAATAATGGTTATATAATTATACATTGTTTAAACTATTAGCTTTTAAGTCTAGCAAGAAGCTCACATTTTGTACACACACTACCAAAAATGATAATGAAACTGCGTTTTAAAGTTACGAACTGACCTTTGGAGTGAGCAACCATAGTTTAGAGACATTTGTTTCCATTTTAAAATCGGATTTTTAACACACTCATCTTCATTTGGAACATGAACAGTGATTCCCGCTGTTCTCCTTGCCCACCCTGTGAACATAGACATGGTCAGCAGCCAGTTCTTCTCCTTCTGAACCCCATTTTCAGTGTTCCTTGTGCATTGTGAGCCCTCTGTTCTACCATAGGAAGGGCCAGCTTGCATCTCGTCGGTCTACGCAGGCACAAAGGGTTGCATGAGGCTTGAACTAGAGTGGCTTGGAGGGGCAGGATTAACATCATAGCGTGTTAGTTGTCCCCTAAGCCATCGTGGCAGCTGTTGATTTATATTTTGAAATGATAGAAATATCAACAATTGACACAATAAATTATGATAGTCCTTAGCGTTTTACCTTTTTTAAAAAGTCTCCTAGTATTTTAGGTCCGCTATTTTTGCTGAAGTCATGGTTTGATTGCCCTTTTAAAGTAACCTAGAATTGCATGTTTAATCTTCTTGAACTGCATTCATACAGTGATTAAATTAGGAATATTTTAATGTATGGCAGTTTAATACAGTAGCAGAAAGTCTAAGGATTAAAAAAAAAATCACTCTTTAAAAGTTAAATACATTTTATCTATTTTACAGGAGCATTTCAGAAATCGTATTTCATAGCCCTACTGCATTTTAATTTTAGATACTGTACTTCTTTAACGACTTTCTAATTTATACAATTTTTGTTTCACTGTCAAAACATTTAATTATATCATGTCTTGAAGGTGTAAAGCTGTCAAATAAATCAGAGGCTTAGTATAAACATTTGGTGAATTGCTTTTGCTACCATACTGTAGTAGTTACTGGGCAGTTAGTGGAACTTTTTCCAAGCATTTACTCAGCAGGTACAGGACAGCACTGGTACAATGAATTGCTGATTGCTTGTAAAACAGCAGGTAGTAATGCCCTCGCTCTTTGTAATTCTGCTTTGTAAAATAAAGTGGCAAGATAGCGTGGCAGAGAAAGCCAACGTGCAGCCAATGTTTCCTGCCTAAGGGCTGCTGGAGATTGCCAAGCCTATTTCAAAAAAAAAAAAAAAAAAAAAAAAAAAATCCGTAATAACAATTGTTGCTATTTTCCATAGCGCAAAAAAAGCCCGAAGGACCCACTGCTGGAGGGAACGAACCGCGTTCCCGCTTCGAAAAATTTGGCAAGGCGGGCATGAAAAACAAAAAAAGCCTGGATTCCTTTAGGAAGGCCTTAATATTTGTATTTTAAGAAACCAAACCAACAACTCGCAAGTGTCTTTAAAACGTTTGAGCTTCGTACGAAAAGAGAAAAGTCTTCCGAGGCGTGTTTTTTTGCCCAATATTTTGTTCTGGTGTTAACACGAACTGCAGGCTCCCCAGGGCGGGGTCTGGATGAAGTAAATGAGTTCTCCTTTGAAGCTTTTCTTCTCTGCCCCTTCAGGATGAATGGGGAGGCCCTCGAATAAAGCTGCTTTTCATTAGCGCCACCGCGTACCTATTGGAAAGGAAGAGCTCTTCCAGCGCCGGCAGACGCTGGAGTAAAGGAACGCTTCCTTTTCCTACCGGGAGACCGTGGGCTAAGCGGCTCCTAGCGTCTCTCTGCAGCCCGGCATTCCCCCTCAGAGCTAATCACCGCAGTAATTTATTCGGATCACCCTCTCCGCGCGGGCGGCGGTGCTCGGTGGCACCGCTGGAAGGCGGCGGGGTTTGGAAGCCGC